CTCTGAGATTGAAAAGTGCAAGTGAGAACATGGGACTCGATTGGAGGCCCCCGGTAGTGCAGTCTACCCTTGCAGGAGCACCTTGGGAGCACCCTGTCATTAAGTGTGACCTTTCCCTCACGCGATACAAGAAAGCTGATACTCCCAATGGTGTGTTTCTTCAGGAATTCTTAGCACTGCAGAGTCAGTATTCCGAATATGTAAGCTTCTACACAGATGGTACGAAGACAGAATCTGCTGTTGGGTGTTCCATGATTGGCCGGACAGTCCAACTTGTAAGGCGAATCAACTCCTCTGCTTCTATTTTTACAGCAGAGCTCTATGGTCTGCTTCTTACCATAGGCTTCATACTTGATAAAAAACTCTCGCTCCATCGTATACACTGACTCCCTCAGTGCATTGCATGCACTGTCTTCATTAACACCCCTCAAGCACTTCTTGCTCCTTGAACTGCGAAATAAGGTTGTTGCTGCCTCAAGACAAGGATACAAAATTATTTTTTGCTGGATTCCCAGCCATGTCGGCATTCCAGGAAATGAGGCCGCAGATCGTGCAGCAAGTACTTGCGTAAAGCGAACCATTGACCTCAAGAACATTCCTTATGCAGACTACAAAGGCCTTCTCAGGCGTCACGTTAAGTGCAAATGGCAGGCTGAATGGGATCAAGAAATCGGCAACAAGTTGCACATGATCAAACCTCTTTTGAGCGAATGGCAGAGTGCACGCCACCAGGAACGCTTTTTTGAGGTTGTCCTTTGCCAGCTCAGGATTGGTCACACTCATCTGACTCATGGCTACCTCCTTCGTGGGGAAGATGCCCCCACTTGTGAGCAGTGTGACAATGCCTTAAGCATCCTACATATTCTAGTTGAATGTCCTGCTTATCATGAAGAACGTCTTTTGTATTTTTCGCAACTGTATCAAGAACAAGTCCCAATACACCCAGCTCTGCTCTTAAGTGATAATTCACTTGTGACACACACTAATGTTTTCAAATTCTTAGATAGTATCGGCCTTCTACACCGATTGTAGCTGTCTTAACCTACTGATCATGCCCATCATCCTTTTACCTTTTGGTACCCCATTACCATCTTTTATCTAATCACTGGCTACTAAAGCCTCTTTTTTCTCTCTAAACCTGTCCAGCAATAGTCTTGTTTTTGGCGCTCTATGGCCTTAGTAGCTTTTGCGCCATTAACACCAAATAAACCAATCAACCAACCAAATCTCAACGTAAAGCCGGACTACCTAATCATATCTCCGCATGAGCTGAGGATTCTTGCTCAGCCTTTTTCGCTGGCTTTCGAGTCTCTTCCGAGCCATCTCTCGGTTGCAGTCAAGCTTTACATCAGGTTTCCAAGGGTGGCTCGCTTTGTATCTTCGATCAGATTTGGTGATGCTTCCCTCATAGCGCTGCATGATGTCGCTATCGGAGTGATCCTGGACCTCTGGGTCCACAGCTCCCATACTCTCAAGCTCCCAAAAGCCTCTCAGGACCGCCGCGTTCTCCTGGTCGCTTACGGCAGCTCTGAGGACGATCACTTGGGAACAGTTGACAACAGATGAACTCGCATGGGAGCGTCCATGTACTGCCCAACCAATGGCGGTCTCCACTGCCGTCAGGTTCTCGCTCAGTCGACGGACTCTTCCCGTAACGCATCCCCAGTAGTGGTCCGAACCTAACAGGATCCCTACTCCGCTGCACTCCAGTTCGTTCAGGTCGTCACCAACCATTAGTCCGAGCTCCTCCATATTCACAAGGATGTCTTCATCCGGGCCTGGAAGTTCTTGTTCGCAGATAGAAAGGGTCTCGAAGGCTTCTATCTTGTATGTCTGGCCGGTTAGACGATTACTCAAAGCTACTTGTACTCTACGGTATGTTTGTTGGGTAATCTTGCCACCGAACAGTCCTACGGTCAGAACCTACGTTCCGAGACGCTTGCAACCAAGACCCCTCGACAATGCCTCTGTAATGAAGGAGCGCTGTCTATCGCTGTTGAAAAGAATGCGGGCAAACTTCCCTCTGTTCTTGCTTTTTACCCTTGCTGTAAGCGTTTGCAAAAGGATAGCCGGTTTGTTGCCCTTCTCGCTCACATGCAAGTTGAGAGGCGTCTGGTCTGGCCGCGTTTCATCCAGTCCGCTGGCAGCTCGTCCTGGCAAGTAGTCTGGATCACACATAGTGGATACATGCCTTCCTCGACATCCATCACAACAGAGCGAGCCGCGACACATTCTTGCCGTGTGGTTCGGCTTTGTGCACCGGAAGCACCTCCGATTGGCCTGCAGCCTGCGCTTCTTTTCCTTGAGTTCGATCTTTGTGTTACAGTCTCGTGTGCTGTGCGCCTTTGACTTGCGAAGAAAGCATTCCATGCTGTCCATCCTGCTATGCAAGGCCGTAGCGGTAGCGTTCCGAGTCTGGGCGTAGTTTAGGCGCCTCTTCGGAAGGTCATGCATGGGGAAGCAATGTGTAGGCTTACCGCCGGCGTCTTCGGATTGTTCCTTGGATGTTTTCTCCCGGCTCTCCACCACAATTTTGAGAAAGTTCAGCAGCGCACGCACTTCCTTTACGGGTCTTTGCTCCGTTGCTGAGTCGGAGCCGATGTCGGTTGCTGATGTTCTCCCGGTGGTGGCGTTTTCGGCGTTCCCCGAAGACACCTTGCGGTTGAACTCCTGCCTCATGTCGTCTGGAATCGCCCGAAGCAGGACCAGGTAGTCCATGGCACAGTATGACTGATCCGTCACACCCAACGCCCGAAGGCCCTGGATGTGAGCCCGGGCGCTGTCGTAGACCCGCCGCAGAGCTCTGACACTGTGCGATGACGGCACCTGGTATTGATGTCCATGAGCCCCGTCATGTGGTCCTGGATCAGCTCCGCCTGGTTCCCAAACGGCTGCTGCAGGAGGTCGATGGCGTAGGCGTAGCATTCAGCGGTTGGGTGCAGTCGTGCGATGGCGGCTGCTCTATCCCCAGTCAGGGCTGACCTCAAGTAGTTAAATTTCTGTGACGACGATAGGTCCGGGTTTTCATGGATGGCGGTCTGAAATTGCTCCCAGAAGGGCTGCCAATATCTTCGCTGTCCGTTAAACTTGATGAGCTCTAATTTGAGGAGCTTGATTTTTGATGTCACCTTTCTTGCTTCCCGCTTTTCGTTCGGCTGCCCGCTTGTTCATTGGCTGTCCTCTGGGCTCTTCACTTTCCTTTTGAGCTTCGCTATGCACATGACGATCTTGTCAGAATAATCAATCACTTGTGTGAATTCTGCTTCTGTGTCTTTTTTGGAAATCAACAACTCGATCACGGCATCTACGTCACTGAGTTGGTCCCGAGCGAGGCTTAGACGCTCTATCAAAATATTGAGATCATCGACGGTCGTCGTAGCTATTTGCAATAAATCCTGTGCCTCGCTGAGGAGCCTCGTTACTTGCGTTCAATGCGTTTTTCGTTTTTTCTTGAGGACATCCATTACCGTTCAGTCCTGGCTTGTAGTGCTGCTTGCTTGTGTCAGTCTATCGTAGATGTTGCTGTTGATTAACAGGTTTCGCTCGTTCAGTCGTAACGTTCCCTTCTCTGTCTGCTGGCGATTCAATCACACGTTGCTCGTCGGCTTCATTTGTAGTGCAGTAGTTTCTTTCCCGGGTTTCGGCACCAATTATTTTGTTGAGGGAATTGTTGCTTCTTGTCGTTCCGAGATATCGATCATTCTCAACAAACCCCACCACTTCTATTTTAAACTACACACACGTTCCAAACAGACTAGCCGTTTTCTCGTTCTCCGCTTGCTTGCGTTCCAGCTTTCGTTCTGTCCGCCTCCACATTCCCAGCTGTTCATCTTCGCGGCTGCGGCCGCCACGAGTACGAAGTTCACAGCTCGCCCCCCCCCCCTCCCCCCCCCCCGCGCGCCCGATCGTCTCCGTCGAGGCAGCTGTGGTGTAAGGTTCAGCTCGCTCCTCGCGTGCATCCTCTCCGCAGAGAAAATCTGATGCTGTTCTCGCGAATGTTCCAACACACTCATCCAATGTTCATGGTAGTTCGTCAAGGTTCAGAACTTCCTGTGCCTTGTTTTTGGCAGTCTTCCTGAGGCTGTTGGATTTCATGCTCCATGTGAGGTCACTCGTGGCTTCCGCCTTCTCTGCATAATTATCTGCTGAAGCCGTCAATTCAGCAACAGCTATATCCAGTTTCTTCTTTCTCAATCTTTCCACTTTTTCGTCAATGCAGGGCCTTTTCACCTGCCTTGCATCTTCAAGCTCCCATTTCTTCTTGGCTTCCAAAAAAGCATGGTAATGGTGCCATGCAGAAGTTACGGACGTGCTGAGTTCCTTCGTAATTTGTACACTCAAGATGCCACCTGCCTTGTTTACAGCACGTCACATACAATTCGCTGCGAGATGTAGGACATGTCTCATATTTTCCGCAGCGACCTGCCGATTGACACTGAATCCTCTCTCAACACTCGCTTGTCCGTGACTGAGGACAAGCAGAAGCTTAACGGCTTCCTACAGTTCACTGTCTGACGAATTGATCTTCAGGAGGCCATAAAAAAACCTACTGTCCAAGGTGTCCGAAGTTCTTTCAAACTGTTGCAAGTCGTGCTTTTGATCTTGCAATAGCTCGGTGTATTCCGCGAGCACAGTGTCTTTTTGATGATCACTGATCCTTTTTGCCGCAGTGAGAGAGTTTAAAACTTTTTTGATGCGTTCCAGACACTCGTCTGGCTTTGAGCCAGTGTTGGACAAAATACTCGATAAAAGTATTTAAGTTAAGTTACTAAATACCTGCTTCATAAAGTATCTAAAATACTACTCAAGTTACTTTCACTGTAAAGTATCTTGAGTAGAGTATGAATACTGAGAGATGTAACTCAATTACTTTTGAAGCTACTTGTGCATTGCATAATTTGTATCGATGTCAGTGACAAACACAATTATACAGTTGCGCAAATCTGGTTTACCAGAATGGTTTATTCGCACGCAAAAGAAGCTGCTCCTCAAACTTCTCGTCAGACAGCCGTCCTCGTTTGCGCTGGAAGACATCGCCTATGCTAAAAAGTTGCTCAACCGCGGCACTAGAGACGGCACTGCCACGCTGTACCGCAAGAAGAGCTGATGCAGAGAAGGGTAGTTGAGGATGTCCGTGACCTTTTCCGGCAGTGTCCGACAGATATCTTGCCAGCTCTTGTGATGCACCACATCATTCCCCTTGTTCCCCAAACCCAAAGTCTTTGAAGCCGAAAAAATCTTCAGCTGATGTTTCAGCACTTTCGGGCGACGCCTGGGTAGAGGGCTCGACATTTTGGGGCAGGCGCGCCACTTCATCTTTCATTAGCTGAGTGATCAACCCCCGCTGAGCTTCTGCGATCCACTGCATCTTGAACTGCAGCAACAGCACAGCGTTGACTACGAGTGGGGTGTCCCTCATTCTGTCACCAAACCTGGAAAAAAAAAGTATTTTTTTTTAAATATTTGCGGTTAACTTTACATGATATGTGTAAATGACTAGGCATTGTATTGTTGTTGGAGACAATTCAGCTGGCGTTGTATGTCTCCATTCTAGTCAATAACGACATACACCCAATCTTTCCAGTGATACTGAAATAGAAATTAGAATCGTCTCATACACATAAAATTCGAAGTGTACACAAAGTGCCCAAAACGACGCTCAGAACAATAGGGACCTTTAGCGAACTGTTTCCGTGCTCCGCGTACCGCACTACCGGAGCCTTTGAAGCGTGCTTTTAAGAGCGCACCCCGCGGTCGCGGTACCACCCGGGCGTGCGCTTAAAAGCATGCTTCAAAGGCTCCGGTAGTGCGGTACGCGGAGCACGGCAACGGTTTTGTAAAGGTCACCATTGACTGCCTCAGCCTGAGAAGCGTTATTGTGGGCAAAGATCGCGGCATGCTTTATGCGCGCACTTTTCAAATCGGGCTGAACGACATGAACATTGATTAATTATTACCTCAAACACTAATACTTTTGCAAATACTTTTAGACGGTTGGGCCTCATAGCGATTACCGTCGATTCTTCAATGGGAACATGATTCGTAAAACCAATAATTAAGAAATAATTGAGAGATTTTAGTTTATGAGCCAACTCATGACGATTATGCTCAGCTAATGTCTACTGAAGTTGAGAAACACCTAGCGAAGACAGCATTCAGTTAGTAGTTTGCACTCTTTTTTAAAAACAATATGTTTCCATTGTTACACATCGCCCTAGGCCTGTGTATATTTTAGGTAGTTACTCAATAAATGTGTTTTTTGTGTAAATAGGAAAAATATGGTTTGCACAAATATGGTTCGCAGTTTTAACGCTTTAGTCAAATAAAATATAAATAAGTAATCTTACCGTTTTTCGAGATCTGCGATTCAATTGTTTTCAGCGGCTCGCAGTACTCCAGTCCACGTAGTGATGTCAGCTTGCGTTTCAGTGCTGCAATTATGGGGAGTAGGTATCCTAGATACATGTTTTTGTCCCCTTATAAAATATCCAGTGCGTCTGCAAGTGGTTTCATAACCTAGAACAGGCAATTAGCGTGACTGTACATACACTCACACTTGAATTTCCACTCACCTGGCAGTACTCTCCGACAAAGTCTACGTTAACGGGGCGTCGCAAAGCTTGCACTTTCTGCTGCATACAGAAGGCGCTCCGGACGGTCGCTTAAGGGATCTCTGATGCATTTCATGGTGTTGTAGCGTGAATTCCAACATGTTACATTTGGCATAACAAGGTACATTGAAAAGCACGAAAAAGAAGCCATATTATCATAGCCTAAAAAAAAAAGAACTCGTTGTGCGAATAATCGCAAAAAACGTGATGTGCTTTTGTTTTAGTATGAAAGTTCGAACCATAGTTACAGGTCGATGCAAGTAAATATGAACGCCTAAATAAAATGACTCAACGTCTCATGGTTTCAAAAATTGAGATGGCAACTAAAAAATTCAGTTGCCGTCTCAATAGAATCTGGCAACGCAATTGCAGAAGAACCCCGGAACCGTTTAGAGGCAATACAATTTCAGTATTACGTAAAAATTGAGAACTTACCGTCCACAGAGGTCATGGAGTTCATTGGCAGCCAGCAGTGACTGGTTTTGTTTTGCCCATAAATTCTGGCACTTAGTAAAAACCGCCTTGGAGATAGCGCAGTAGGAATGGTCATTTTCTGCTTTCTGGGAATCGGCACCAGCAACCAAGTTCAGTGCATGCGACGCACATTTTTGATGTGGAGGTAGTCGATACGGCTCCCCATTGTCGAGAACTGACGTCAGCTCAATCGGCTCTGTTTCCTCGTCGTCATCGTGAGAACCGAAAACTCTAAATGAAACAACGTCGTAGTTAGCAACCCCGACATCTAGGATAAAAAACACACTCGAGAAATGCAAACTGTCATGTCAGCAAACTACACATGAAGAATTGACAATTGTTCCTTTCTGTGGCGCTTGCATTAACATTTAAGTAAAGTATTTAAGAGTTGGGTATCCTACGAACCTGAAGGCCTTGAGAAAATTCGACCCACTGTCGGTGACAACCCTGGCAACTTTGTTTTGAATACGCTACTCTAGGAAGACATTTTCGAGTTCTTCGGCGATCTTTTCATAGGTCACGGTCCCCTTGATGCGGTGACAACAAAGCGCTGCAGACTTTCGCTCCAGTGATTCGGCATTCAGCCACAGACATGTGACACCAAAGAAGCTTCTATAGGAAATAAATCACAGTATTAAAGAAGAAAGGACAGGTTTGCTAAACGAACGTACCTGTTGAATGTCTTCTAGCAGTCAGCAGAAATGGCGACGTATTTAGCCTTCTCCAGTTCCTTGATCAGTCGCTCTTTCATTTTCAAGAAGCGACGGTCGATGCGAGCGACAACCATTTTCCTGGTCAGACGTGCGTTGTTTGGCGCTAGGTTCCGAACCAAGCAAACAAAATCTTCATTTTCTACAACTGAAAATGGTTGCATTGATCCGATCACGAAGTTTTCCACCAGCTCTTCGTACTTGTTCTGGGGCAGTCGTGCTTGCCTGTTTGAGCACTCGTCAAGTCGTTGCTGTTTTAACGAGCTGACTGGATTTGGGTCGCTTGGTCTTGAACGTTTCCCTCTTTGTGTCATACTTTCGAGTACAGACATATGACTGGGGTGCACGGCCTGCAACATGAACGTCATATAAACATTTGGGACATACCTCTAAATGTCTTCATTGGAGTTTGTCAAGGCTCGCTTTCTCGCCCAGTTCCTCTAACAGCTTCAAATGTTGCTATGTTAGAAGCTTCCTGTCTATCCGTCCCTTTTCTTTCCCTCGCTCCAGAAATACAATGTCTCAATAAATCCCTTTCCAGTTTTTAGTTCGAAACTGCCTCATAATTTTGGTTTACCCTGACAAATGGCAGTACAATCGCCAAATGCAATACTAAACTCATTAGTCTTTTTTTTTTATCTTCATTGCAGTTAGAACGAAACAAATACACAGATGGGTTGTCTCGAATGAAAATGTTTTGAGATAACATTAAACTGGGTCCGGTCATTTCATTGAATGCAGTTTCATTGAACACCGTTTCATTGAAGCCGTTTCATCGAACGCAGTTTCATTGAACGCCGTTTCATTGAACATCGCCTGCTTGAGCAGTAGGAATTCCCCCGCAGGGGGCACCTGTGAAAGCAGGTGTTTGGAGAGTGGCGTCTCCACGGACCCCGAGCTCCGCAGGGGGCGCCTGCACCTTAGGTGCTAGGTGCTTGGTGAGTAGCGTCACCACGGACCCCAGCCACTTTGGCGACACCACAGACCCGGAGAAAAAAGTGGCTAAGACCCACCAACGTCTGGCTGTGTGTGGCGAGCCCGTGTCCAGGGAAACGGGCATCCTGGTGGTTGAGCTGAGCCCGGGGTAGGTTTGGACCCTTCGGGGCCCCCCAGGCGAGGCAACACACCACTTTGGCCCCTGCTTCCTGTAGACGGGTGTCCTGGCTTGGCCCGACCAGGATGATTCAGTCAGTCGCCACATCTTCTACTATCCCCTCTTCTCTTTCTCTTTTCTCTGCTCTTCTTTCTTTCATATTCACCATCTTTGGCGGCAAGGGCTAACCTTGGGTGGCGATAGACCCCTTGTCTAGACCCGCACTAGGTTATAGTGTCTTGGTAGCACTGATAGCGTAATGTCGTCGGCAAAACCTTTTTTGCTATGGCGCATTACCTATCCCCATGTTGGGCTCCGTGGTGGGTGGTGCGCTACACGCCGAACGCCTCCCCATTTATTATGGGTTCCAAGCTAAACAAAAACTCTGATCGGGCTCTGAAAAGGGCCCGCACCAAGGACAAACTTCTTAAAAATCGTACCACGGCGCCGGAAACTTTTCCAAAATTTTTGGTTATGCACTCAGACAACGAGGACAAACCGCGGGCAAAACTTTCTCCTTTCCTAGTCGCAAAGACTTTAGAGATGATAGTTGGAAAAAATTTCAAAGCAAAGAAGCTTTTTTCTGGTGACCTCCTTGTTGAAGTCCATACTGCAGAGCAGAGTACTGCATTACTTGCCCTCAACGAAATCCAAGACTACGCCGTTTCTGTAACCATTCACCGCTCTCTCAATAGCACGCAGGGCGTCATCTCCGAGGATGATCTACTTGGAAGCCCGAACGAAGAGATCCTTGAAGGTCTTAAAGATCAGGGAGTCATCGCTGTTCGACGGATCACTCTTTGCCGTGATGGCCAGGAAAGGGACACTAAACATATAGTTCTAACGTTCAACTCAACAAGTCTCCCCTCCGCAGTCAAGGCTGGCTACCTTAACTGCAAAGTAAGGCCCTACATCCCCAATCCAAGACATTGCTTCCGCTGCCAACGTTTTGGCCATGGGTCAACCACGTGCAGAGGAAAAACGACATGTGCCAAATGTGCAAGCAACGATCACCCCACAGACAACTGTTCTAGTGACTTTCACACCTGCTTGAATTGCCGAGGACCTCACCCGGCATACCCTCGTTCGTGCCCTAAATTCAAACTGGAAAAGGAAATAATAACTCTAAAGTCAAAGGAAAACTTGACTTACCAGGAAGCACGTAAGCGTCTCTCCTTCCTGCAAGGAGGCACGTATGCTGAGGCGGCAACCAGGGGGGCTGCTCCGCCAAAGACCTCTGTGGGTACACAATACTCCGCTCAGGATATTGTGGCCCCATTTAGCCCCCCTTTCCTTGCAAAACCAAGGGTGGATAACACACCCTTACAGACTCCCATGACGCAAACAACCGACACGTCGGTGCGTCTCAGTGGTCTCTCGCAACCCCGACGGCGTGTAGAGGAGACACCTCGGGGCTCCCCATCCTCCTCTTCTCATCACTCTGGGAGCGCTGCCAGCACATCGGCCACTCCCAACACCAAGGTTCAGGAGAAGGTGAAATCTCACAAATCACCTTCATTTGGACGCTCCCAAAAGGTTGTGTTCAACCTTCCCATACTACATGAAAAACAACATAGTACACCTCAATCAAATGCTCTGGATGCATCCGAGTGTAATCGTGGTGCATCCTGCTCGCCTCATGAAGCCCCTGGTGTACAAGGAGGGATGGCTGAATCCTGCACTGATCCTGCAGATCAGGCTACCCCTATGGAAGTTGACAAGCAACCAAAAAAGAAACAGAGCCCTCGCATAACAGGACCGCCCTAGCATAATGCCAGTGAATATTGTGCAGTGGAACTGCAGAGGAGCACGCTCAAACATTGAAGATTTAAAGGATCTGATGCAAGCCCTAGACCCAGAGGTGACCTGTCTTCAGGAAACCTTCCTTTCCGAGTCGGCCTCGTTCAGATTTGGCAGGTGCGCAGTATATCGTAAAGACCGTCCTCCGTATGTGAGAGGTGGAGGAGTGGCTCTCATTGTGCAACCATCGTGTCCTTCAGAGCAGATTCCTTTAACCTCAAACTTGGAAGCAGTTGCTGCACGTATTTACATCGGTATCACGGTAACTGTATGCTCTCTTTATCTTCCAGCTAATGAACAGATCACGTTGACAGAGCTAGAACAGCTTGTAAATTAACTCCCAAGCCCTTACCTGCTTCTTGGAGACTTCAATGCTCACAATAGACTATGGGGAAGTCAATTGGATGACTCTAGAGGCAAAGTGGTGGAGAATTTTTTGCTCAAAAATTCACTGAATCTTTTAAATGACAAGTCTCCTACGCATATTACCCTAAGCTTACCTGTAAAATACTCTGCCATAGACTTATCATTTTGTTCAGCTTCTCTTTTTATGAAATTGTCCTGCCGTGTTCACCACAATCCATATAACAGTGATCACTTTCCCATTGTCATCCAACACTCGTGCGCTACTCCTTGTGTTAAGAAAAGAATGCCTCGGTGGGTCATTGAGAAGGCAGACTGGACGAAATTTAGTGAACAGGCCCAGATTCCCGAGGATGGTTTCACCGCACTTAATATCGATGAGGCCACGTCTGCTTTGACAACTGTCATAATTAACGCAGCAAAGTTTCAATTCCAAAAACATCATCACGGTTTCCAAAATACCCAAAACCCTGGTGGTCTCCAGAATGCACAGAAGCCAAGAAAAATAAAAATAAGTATTGGGGAAAGTTCAAGAGGTATCCCACTTCTGAGTGGTTGATCGCCCTTAAAAGAAGCAAAGCTGAGCTCCGCCGCATAATCAGAAGCCAGAAGAAAAACTCCTGGTGCAAGTACACCTCGGAGGTTACCCAGGACACATCAACAAAAGAAATCTGGGACAAAGTCCGGAAGATGGAGGGCTTATATAATGATACCCGACTCTCTATTCTCAAAGATGGAACAGTTCAAGTGTGCTCTACCATAGACCAGGCAAATCTGCTGGGACATACTTTTTCAGTAGTATCCAGCAAGTCTTCATACCAAAAACCTTTTCTAGCTTATTGCACACAAGTAGAAAGAAAACCACTGCCAATAAAACTCAGTAGCGAGGAACCTTACAACAAACCTTTATCTTTTCGAGAGCTGGAGCTATCGACCCTGCATTGCCGGAATTCTGCAGTTGGCTTAGACAACATACACTATAAAATGATTGCTAACTTATCCCACGATTGCAAACTTGCTCTTCTGAAGTTCTATAACAGAATATGGGAAACGGGGGTGTTCCCAACATCCTGGAGGAAAGCAGTCGTTATAGCCATTCCAAAGCCAGGCAAAGATCACACAAATCCTCAGAACTACAGACCAATAGCTCTCACCAGCTGCCTCTGCAAGGTGCTGGAACGTATGATAAATTCAAGGCTTGTTTTTTGCCTAGAGGCAAAAAACTTACTATCACGAGCTCAGTGTGGTTTCCGCAAAAACCGCTCCACCCTCGATCATCTTGTGTCTCTGGAGATGGAGGTTCGCTCGGCCTTTGTGAGGCGTGAACATCTGGTGGCAGTTTTCTTCGATCTTGCTAAGGCATATGATACAACATGGAGGCATGGTATTCTTAGTAACCTGGTGTCAATGGGTTTTAATGGTAACATGATGGTGTTCATTAAGAACTTCTTAACAGATCGCACTTTTCAGGTGCGCCGGGGAGCTGTTCTTTCTGACGAGTTTATGCAGGAAACGGGCGTTCCCCAGGGCTGCATTTTAAGTGTCACATTATTTTTGGTTCAGATAAATTCACTCTCCCGTGAAATTTCTCGCCCCATCGAACACTCTTTATATGCTGATGACCTTAAAATTTCTATCAGGACTTCATCTCTGCGAGTTGCCGAGCGACAACTCCAGCTCTGCATAAACAAACTGACCAAGTGGTGTTTTCGAAACGGATTTCAGTTCTCGGCAGAAAAAAGTGCCATTGTACATTTCACGCGGAAACGTGGACTGTACCCCAATCCCGAACTGTCACTAAATGGTACACAACTTACTTGTAAGGACTCTCAAAAATTTCTTGGAGTCATTTTTGACCGAAAACTGACATTTGGAGAGCATATTGCCTATCTTCGCAAAAACTGCCTAAAAAAACTAAATATTCTTAAAGTGCTTGCACACACATCTTGGGGAGGACACGTGGAGTCTCTTCTGCATATTTACCGGGCTACAGTGCGTTCAAAACTGGATTATGGTAGCTTTGTTTATGGATCGGCTAGACAAAGCACAATTCGACAGCTTGATCCTGTTCATCACCAGGCAATTCGTTTGTGCACGGGAGCTTTTCGAACATCACCAGTGGAGAGCCTATACATAACAGCCCATGAACAGCCCCCATGTCTTAGGAGAGAATTGCTAGGTCTATTTTATGCAGTTAGAATTTCAATGTACAAGGACAATCCAGCCTACACTCATGTCCTAGCCCCATCTTTCACTGAGCTGTTTGCTCGACGCCCATCAGTCGCCCAACCATTTGGAATTCGTGTGCAGCAAGTTTTGTCGGACACTAGGTTTTCAATAAGCAAGGTTTCAACTTTTCGTCCACCACTCCCTCCTTGGTACGACCCAAGCATTTCCTGTGATCTGCGGTTAACTAAGTTCCAAAAGCCATGTACTGCGCCTCTGGTGTACCAACAGTGTTTTTTAGAAATTCTTAAAGAGTTCAAGGACTACCGGGCATTTTACACGCGGGACTGTCCCGCGTCCCTCGAGAAATTCCCAAATCTTCAATATATCCCGCATTTCACACTGTCGTAATATTCGCTCTGCAATTCATGGTGCCGCCGAACAACGGGGCACGGGGAAGCGCCAACACAATTTCTTCGCCAACACAATTTCAACACAATTTCTTCGCACGGCCCTTTTAATATAGGCGTCTAAAGAGTAGAGCTAAAAACGGAAAAATAACAAATATTAAACCAATATGTTTTAAGCTCACAATTAAGCTTCTCTTGGGGTTGCAATCCAGTTTGGGATACACTTCGATTGAGAGATTTAGACAAGACATTTATATTTAAAACAAACTCTTTGAGGTCCAATATATCGAAGAAATATTTGCAAGATTGAAATTTAGCTTTTTTCAATATGAAAATTATGGTTGGGAATATATGGTGCTCATTGCTGCTTTCACTTTTAGTTTTAGAACATCTGAGACACACAGAACATAACAATTATTACCACTGAAACCTCGGAACACATATGGAAGCTCTGATTATATAGCTACAAGGAATAACTCCCTGCAATTCCTGTACACTATAAGGACGCAATCCTTTATGCATACTGGTTTTCTGGAGTTAGTTTGAGTTCACCTTTCATGTGAAATACAAGCAAAGCAACAACTTCCTTAACTGAACATTTTTTCCTACACTGCCCTTCAGAAATAAGTGGTGCACATATAATCGTAATTAATTCAATCCCATTACAACAGTGAACAATATTGTTACGGCCATGTAGCTAACTGATAGCTAGGCTTCGCCGCGTCAGCCACTTTCCTCCACAGATGGTGGTACATTGCGGTGAAACCTCCCCCCCCACTTTTGTACATAGCGATGAAGCTTGACACAAGATTAAAGTGAAGCTTGACACATGTAATCAGTGAATTTTTAATTAAAATGTTCGCGAAACCCTGAAGAGCAATAGCCAAAATCGTGTTCGATGGAGCTTTGTTTCAGAACTCCTGATCAATACTGCTGTGTTTGTAACTGAGACACAGAAATATAAGTGACAAAACCTAGTTTTTTTTCAGCAGATCTTAAAGGACACATGCAAAGGAAAAAAACATTTTTTTTTAGACAGCTTAGATGGAAAAAGGATGTCATAAAACGATTTTACAACGAAGAAAAAAAAATTTTAGAGCTATATTTACGGCGCTATACGAATTTGTAATTGGTGCTCGCGGGAGCCGCCGCTGGTCACGTGGTAGGCCCGCGCGCCGCCGCGCTGCGTCGCCGCCGCACGCTCAGCGTTGTGCGAACGCCGCTTCAACGAGTTTCTTTACGCCGCCGTCGCTGCCGCCACACAAGTTTGTCTGCTTCGGGGCGCCGCTGCCGTCATCTGACCGGCGCACAGGTCTACCACGTCTGCCTGCGCGTTTTCAGGAGTTTCCTTTGGGCTATAAAAGTTACTTATCTATCTTAGTTTTTTGTTATACGTCAAACAAAGATGAATAAGTTACTTTTAGAAGCCATAGGAAGCTTCCGAAAGAGCGCAAGCACCACGTGACAAATATGGGCCCGTCAAGGGCCTCTTTTCTGCGGCGCCCGCCGGCGCCAAGTACAAATTCGTATGGCGCCGTAAATATAGTCCTAAAAATTTTTTTTCTTGGTTGTAAAATTGTTTTATGATATCCTTTTTCCATCTAAGCTGTTTAAAAAAAAAATGTTTTTTTTTCCTTTGCATGTGTCCTTTAATACCAAACCACCTTGCTACCTGCAGCCTTGAATTGCTTCCACAAAAGAAATAAAGCATATTAGGCTCCTACCTCACTCTGTTCTGCAAGAAGGGCTCGCTTGATTCTGTGTCTGGAAAGAGAACACACATTGAAAATGAGTTAATTGTAATTTTGCATTAAACAAACTGCTGCCTGATCCACGAGGAATGTAGAGTCCTAAGATAACCCTATGCATCGGCAGCCCCGTTTGCAATCGTAAAATAAAAAAGTTTTGATTACATTAGTTTATGTGGTATATGCAGTAAAGTCCATGTTACTAGTTAACCAATCATACATTTTTCATTTGCGTATTTGCCCCCGTAAACGAAGGAAGTGGTAAGCAGATTGGGCTGCCTAAATTGCACTTCTATTTCGAATGCTTGCACATTGCAAACCTTTGGCAGCGTCCTCTTCATTTGATGGCAGATTTGTGAGTTAACTATAATAGTGTAGTTATGAGAGTAGTGCATGGGTTATTTCCCAGACATTAGTACCTTCTAACACCAACTGCTTCGCTTCCGTCAACGCTGCTCGCCGGATTCAACAAAACCACTTGGACAAACAACCAGCCAATATTTTGCTTACATTTGTTTTCTTGCTGACAACTTATGATGTTCTGTATGCATTACTCACCACGGCCCAACCAAACATTCACAAGACCAGCTGAAAATCTGAGCTTTGACCACATGTATTGTGGACAAGATTCGACTTCCCGCGTTATATCGCTTCAGGCTGAGTGTGCATAAATATTTTGCTTGAATCAAACCTAACACCCGGTTCATTAATCAAGCATCTGTAATTGTCGAGGAGCCTAATAACATACACTGCACATGCGTCCAGTAGAGAAAGCTATGAATAGATGCATGCCGTTTGGACAAAAGTCGACACAACCCTGCTTTGTATCGAGGGCTGTTTCGAGGTGGTTGTGACTCATGAAAGAAATAAGGTGTCTGCAAAAATGTATTACTGGAGTAGCCGGCTCTTTGCTAAGTGCCAATATCTTCAGAAGTCAAATAATAAAGAAAAAACATACTTAATGTTTACCAGCTCCAAATTGTAGATACACACTTTAAGAGTAATGCACCTGACCTTGTTAGTTGCGCCGAAAGGATTATTCTAACATGCAGCTCACCACTCATTTTAGCAAGTTTAAGATATATGCACAGAACAAGTCGTCTGCTTCTTGGGCAGGGGTTGCGATGATATCAGAAAGCCAAGCTCTTATTGGCTCATTGAAAGAAGTAGTGGGTAGACCTCAAGGCATCTAGCATTGAGGTCTACCCACTATCTTTTTTGATCAGTCAATAAGAGCTCCACATCATTCTGACATCACCGCTACTCCAGAGCAAAAAGCACACGACTTGCTCTCCGCATGGAATACTGACACACAGATATAAACGACATACTTCCTCGTTAGGTCATTGACCAGCTCAGAGATATACTTGTTTGTATTCTTCAGCCGGTCGGCCCGAATTTTAGCAGTAGCGACTGCTTTCTCTTCTGGCTTCAATTCTTTGTCCAGCATTATTTTGGTCTCTTGTTCTGTTGGATGGTCGCGTATGTACTTCTCCAACATGTCTGAAAACAAACAAAAACAGAAATTAGAACCCAGTCGAAATCTACTCGTTTTTTTCTTAGTTTAATTGACTCTGGAATCGGCATACAGAAGACTAGCGATAATTAAATCTCGGACATTTCTTACTTTCAATTAATTCAAACAAAAATCAAATTTTTAGTTTTTCCCTTATGTTTTCAGCTTACTTCAAACTAGACCATTGAGTTAATTCATACTTCTGCTTGTTTGCACCGACAAATATGGGCTGCCTTTGCCGCCACTAGCTGAGCATTTGCATTCTTATTTCACCTAAAAATAGTCGAAAACAAAGCATATCACCATCCTGCACTTATCTAAGTGGTCAAAACCACTTGGACTACTCTGGCAACAGAACACGGCAATGCACAATCGTGTGTTGACGCGAGGAAAAGAAAAAAAAAAAAACGTCCTCGGGTACGAAAGTGACACTTGGCCACATCTGCTTTTCCCAGCGTGCTGCCGAAGGCCGACTCTGAAGCATGTGACCCGCCTTTGCAGTATTTGCTACTTTGCAGCCACCGTAGCAGGCACGTAGCCAGGGGAGGGCCCATGGGGCCCGGGCCCCCTCGGAAATCTTCCATTTTGCTGGAGCCTCCTCTCCTCTCCCCTCCCCTCCCCTCCCCTCCCTTCCTCCCTCCCTCCCTCCCTCCCCCCAAACATAATCCTGGCTACATGCGTGCACCGTAGTGTAACGCACCACACATTCCCTCATTGGCTGTGGTAAAGTTTTCATCATGTCGCTGCGAGGTAAATACCAAACTCTCTCCGTAAAGGAGAAATTGGTTGCGATGGGAGAGAAGTTGATTCGGAAGTGAAGAAGTGGCACTGAAACATGGGATTACTAGGAGTATCCTGACTACCATTTTCAAAGTGAAGGACAAGCTTTTGAGCAACGCAAACCGATTCGTACTGGATCAAAAAAGCCTTAGGGTAACGGCACACCCACAGCTTGAAAACCGAAACTTGGATTTCGCAAAATAAAGCTGCAGAAGCATTGAACGGGACACTATGAATTCCAAAACATCACTCAGAGATCGATATCTCAAACGGATGGCCGTATTTTTGGAAAAGAAGGGAGCAATCAAGTGAGGAATGTGGCATGACGGTTATATTCAAACGGTTCAGAATGAGGGGAAGCGGCCTCGCTTCAGTTCACCAGCTCGACGAGACGAAGCGAGGAGGACGGAATGAGAATAGAATCGTAATGCCCCATGCCTCGCCGGCCGTGTTCAGTCGCGCATTTCTTTGAAAAAAAATATGGCCATCCGTTAAACACTGTATAAATGGTGTTTTTGGACTCTGCAGCATCCCGCCTATCGCTCCAGCCCTGTTTTGCGAGCTCAAAATTTCAGTTCAGTATCCCTTTAAGCGTGCACGGAGCTCCAATCTGCCAATAAGTGAACTGATCCTGCGAAAAAAAGCTGACAAACTATCCTTGCGGTTCGTATAAAACACAAAAATGAAGTTGTGATAATTCAAACAAAAATCTGTGGTTTTGTCAAGTATAGATTAACGAACATCTAGTGTAATTGCAAGTCTTTTAAACTCTAAAAGCATAGAGCGCTGCTAAACTCTTCTTTTCAAGAAAGCAAGCTTTATGTTTAGCTAAAACGGTTTTCATGATAATGTGGCATTATCATGCAATAAAAGGTAACTGATAAGTGCAGATATTTCTATGTATTACACAGTTTATAGACCTCACTGCAAACGTAAGCCTCTTAATTCAGCACATGATTGGAGAAATCAGCAATGCACCTGAGGAGCAATGTAAATTTTCCCAATTTCCCCACGCTTTTTTTACGACAGAACCAGTAGAAAGCACACAACCACTAGAGAGCACATCATTTCTATGCTGACAGTCACTGCAAGCATCTTAGAAAGTAATTATCTTACTGCGAACAGCAATCTTCTTTTCCGGCATCATGGGAATCTTCCCTTGAGCACCCAGTTTTTTTAACCTGTTGCAGGGCCTGCCGCTCACGCTTCGTTCAAGTAGTTGAGGCGTCGTCCATATCGTCCTGGATGCATCCTTGGCACACTTCGAATCGCACATAGCTTTGAATACAAACTTCAACTTTCTACAGGGTATAAGAATGTTGCACCCCACATGAACCTGGAAACAGAACATTGTTGAACATAGCCTACAAGATATGCATCGTAACTTTTAAGAAGCAGACAACAAGTCAATTCAAGCCACGACAGTCCTTTAAATAAAGGTGCGAAGAGATGATCACCTCATCATAAGGTGTTCACAAGCTAATGATATGTGAAAGAATGAAAAGGGCTACCTTTTTTAATACTACTACAGTCGAATCTCATTAATTCAAACTATCTTAATTCAAACTAACATGCAGGTCCGATCCTATGCATCTCTATGGGAGGTAACTCTTGGTAATTCAAACATTGCTTTATTCAAACAAATTTTCAGCCCCCCTTAAGTTTAAATTAATGAGATTCGACTGTAGATAAAATATTTTCCTCCGACACCTGAGTATATCGCTAGCCATTAAACATAATTGAGAACTGCAAGGGGTTTTGTTTATTATATACGTATGATCCTGCCACGTCCCAAATTTTAATGCAACGGTATAATGAGGAAGATACCAGATTCTACTTTGCAGATTTAGGATTAAACAACACATTGTTCATACAAGGTTTCATGAAACTCAAACTTTGCGATGTTGCACATTTTCCGAGGGGATCGGTGGCCGAGTGGGCCAGTGCACACCAGCTCAGACCACGTGGAGCGAAAACTAGCGCTGCAGAACCCAGGGATTCTAAGTACAGTTGCACCCCTGCCCGTTTCAATCTGGATGAGCATTGTACCGGCGTGTGGTCGTGTATCACTACTATGTGGTACGCGTTGAAGACCCCAGGCTAGTCGTTGTACTGCACTGGCTAAATTTCTCCTCTACAGTGGGAAACAAGTCGCCCATTGAGGCAGACTAAGTTCTAAAATGTATGAACATACACACATTGCAATTTTTTTTTGTGCACATTTGCCAATGCAATCATTGTTTAAAGGAACCTCCAAGTGAAATTCTTTCTTTTACACTATAAAACTGCAGCTTAAGGTTTAAAACAAGAATCCGAAAAGAGCAAGTTTGATGTGCTGGTGAAGCGGATATTGTAGAGAGTTTGTTCGACTCCATTCAACAAATTTTGTTTCAGCCGGTACTCCCCGAGTGGCTGCACTTGCCGAGTCGATTTTGGGGCCAGCACTTGCGGAGTACTGCAGCTGCTTGCACCAGATCGCCATCCCAGCATGCATTGCACACTAAAGTCGATAGTGATGAACAGCACAAGTTGAGGTGATAATGTCGGGTAATCTAGCACCCCTAGCAGCGCTACTTGGGTCTACTTTCTCCACCAGCGAAGTTGAAGAGCTCCTTCAAGAGATCAATAGCTTAAGATGCTAACTGAATTGCGTCAATTATATGAACAGCATCATTGCTATGACGACAGAATCTGTTTCACCTTACATTAGGCCGTAGCTAAGGATAAAAGCATGATGGCAGCTTGTGCAATTTAGCTGCATTCTTGAGCTAGGAGCTCATACTACAGTATAGACCACTTACAACGTAACCGCTTATAGTGCAGGACCAGGTATAACGCGGCTTTTTTAAACCACCGGTTCGCCTCCCATAGAACTCCATGTAATTGCATACCGCTTAAGATGCAGGCACGCGAAGGGAAATACCGGTTATAGTGCGGTTTCTGGAACAGCCCGCCGACCGACCAACGCAGCGAGCACGCTTCCCTGTGCTACACTAGATAACGGCGCTAGCCGCAAGTGGCACTCGCGGGGCAAGACGCGGGGCAAGGAGGTTGCTCGAAGAAGCGGGGAGAAGCGAAGAGAGAGGATTCAGTCGCCATAGCGACGGAGGGACGCACGCACGTGTCGTTCATGTGCGTGCGTCCCTCCGCTGCGTTGGAGAACAACCGCAACGACAGACCAATTGCAGGTCGAGGAGAAGTGTTCGCGCGGCTGCTTCTATCCGCAAACATGGCGGCAGTTGTAATTGTCGACGTAGACGGCGTGGTTATGGTGGCTAGCATAGTGTGGTGGAAGCTCATTGTTCCGCGTAAAAGTGCTATTCTTGACTGTGAATTTTCGTTGTGTCGATATGATAACCCAGCACGTACTAGAAGGGAAGATCCACCGACTCGTGCGGCAATGTCGTGGCGGCACTCTCAAGACGGCAGAAATGCTCATGTTGTCGTGTTGTTTACTTCGACTACAGCGGTGATTTCTAAGCATTTGTGTTTTCGAACATCGCCCGGATTTCTTATTTGGAGCATTTCATGCCTGTGCTCAAAATGAAGGTATTACTGGCGCGTACCGTATAAATGATGCGAATTTTCACGCGTTTTCATCACCGGAGAAAAGTGATTAGGGTTAGCAATCCTGAACACTCGCAACGTCCGTCTGCAACCCGCGACGCCGTTAAAAGGCTGCGTCAGGCAAAAGTCGCTTATTTCTTTCAAAATGTGTGACACACTTGAGAGAGAAGCGAGAGAAGTGTACTAGTCTGGTGAAATAACGACTTTCCTCAAACTAAGCTTTATTTTTCATCTAACATAAAATAAATTCTTTTACAAAGGTAGGTTGTCTGATGGCTTGCATTTTTGGCCTGGAAAATTGATGTTTTGGTTATAGTAGTGCGGTACCGCGTATAGTGCGGATTTTCGCGACTCCCGCGACATACGTTACATGCAGTCTACACTGTATTTACCTACATTGCGGTCTATCATAAGGTGAGAAGCACAGTGCTTAGATCAGCCATGCAGAGCGTCGTTAGCAGGATTGCTCAATAACTTGTTTTGGGTATAAGGCCGCAAAGCAGAATATTCATATTTCCAAAATCGGCGTCTGTGCGCGTTTCATAAGTGCTGCCAAAAATGATGTCAAAAAATCTCTAATAGAATGGTTGTTCACCACATTTTTCGTCGCAAATAGAAACAACTGGCACTCCACTGTTGCATTTCTGCCTGCTACGTAGCCTAACAGCAAATTTGTTTTGGTTCATAGTTTGCACACGTACCACAGCAGAGATAGCAAAAGCATCGTGGTAGACTCGTCAAGTGAACCAGGTCTCAGGGTAAAACTTATGTCGATGTGTCAAACAAACTCGCTATTACAGAGGCGACCACAAAAACGTCATGTCTATGGTGATGGGGCTGGCCACCTTACACCATGATTCTGTGCTTTGTTCTTTTAGTTTTTGTTTTCAATTTTGATTCGAACGCACACATAATTTTGAGTATATTATTTGGGGTGAAAAAAGCATGTTAGTAATGTGCAAATGCTGTATCCCTTCAATTTAGCGAAGAGTGCTTAAAACTGACTTAGATACCAACCTGTCCTTCGTGTTCCTGGAATAGTGGAGTTGATGACCTGTTTGCAAAATCCTCGCCGAGGTCCTCAGGACGGGGCTCAGGAGGGGGCTCCAGATGGGGCTCCGGGCGGGGCTCCGGACAGGGCTCAGGAAGACGCTCAGGAAGGAGCTCAGGAAGGTGCTCAGCCAGGGGCTCAGGCAGGGGCTCAGGCAGGTGCTCATGCAGGTGCTCAGGAAAGGGCTCCTCTCCCTCCATGCACGGCACCTGCCATAACAAAGTACACAATAGAACTACTTCAAACTATATTCCACTTGAAGTTGTTTCCAGTACTGGCAAAACCACAGGCACAAGGACATGGTTTTCAAAGGCACTTTCTACATGCCAGTAGTCATGTATGCAAAGCATTTTGCTGTTCGACTCGTTCCCACCCACACCTTCATCAGTACCGAAAAGAATATGTCAAATAGAGCATAGGGTCAAGTAAGGTGTTCTCCGGCAAACACATCTTTACACAATAAATCATCAATATTCTGTTCAAGATGTATCAGAGATGAACCTGCTTTTTCATAAACAGCAATTTCTCACCAAGGCTCGAGCGGAGACATCGCTGATTGGTGGTCGATTCCTGGGAACCTGGTCACTGGGTCGGCTATCATAAAAATAAAGGCATACTGAAGTTACTCCGAACATTAAAATATTTCATAAGGAAAGTTAAACAAATTACCCCAGCACGCTGGTCCTTGCACTTGAAACGCTTAGTGGTGCAGGAGCTGCCTCTGCTTGAGCTTGTGGTCCCCTGACTTGGACATTAGCTCCTGGATGAACATCTATAAATATTAAGACTTAAGAAATCTGCAGTTTTTTAAAACAACTATAAACAAGCCAATTCATCCCAAAGTGCACATACCAAACTTAGAGAGGAGGGTCCAGGACAAAGCTTTTCTTAACTGCCGCTCCTCCTCCAGCTCCTTCTTTGTAGCTGCTAGCTCCGTCTTCACACGTTTCAATTCTCTCTCCAGATCACCGTTAGCCTCCCTTTCAACTCTTAGCAGCTTCTCAGGGACAACCCCTTCGTCATCATCCTCACTGCTGTCGACACTCGGTGCCGCCCTTTTTTTCCTGCTCAGAATGTCGGTCATCTCCTTTTTGCGTGAAGCCCTCTGGGCAGACATCTGCTCTCGTCTTGATCTTGTACTAGTTGCCTGTAAAACCAATCTGTTACAACTGTACCATGACACACATAGGGTGGTTCAAGTCACCAGGCTCCATCTAAAATGGACCGTAAAAATCGACGCCTGCACGTAGCCATCTAAACTTTTCGTCAAAGGTGTAATTCACAGGTTGGTTTTTTCTTGTAAAATTACAAAGCGTAGCTCTCCTTCTGTAAAAAATAAGGCCAAGAAAGTTGCCAGGGTCTACGGCGGGCAGCAATGCAGACGACAGTGGTCCGGTAGCAGGGTGTGTTTGGCGTTCGTATTGATAGATGGCGCTGCCTTCTTATCGCGACGTGCAGGCGTCGATTTTTACCACGGTGGACGGCTCGCGACCACCGTGGTTTATTAAAATGAATATAATCTTTTCGAAATGTACCTTCGGTTAAAAAATAAATGCGAACAATAAAAACAAACTTAAAGTAAAAAAACGCGTCTGCATAACGGCGGTGCTTTTGCTGCCAACGGATTTCGTTTGCGTGTCGTCTGCTTTCTCTCGCTGGTCGGCTGCACCTTCCGACGCTGCTCTGATGCCATCTATCAATATCTATCAATACGAGCGCCAAACACACCTCGCTACTGGATTTAGTCTGGGTTGCCGCCCGCCGTAGACCCCGGCAAGTTTCTTGGCCCTACTTTTTACTAAAAGAGAACTACGCTTTGTAATTTAACAAAAAAAAAACCGACCTGTGAGAGACACCTTTGACATAAAGCTTAGATGGCTACGTGCAGGCGTCGATTTTTACGGTCCATTTTAGATCGAGCCTGGTGACTTGAACCACCTTATAACTAGAGAATTACCTGACTGTCATTGATGGGGCCCTCGAAGATAACAGGCAGAGCAGTTGCCCTTGACTTTAAGATGCTCTTTATCAGTTCCTGCTGATTTTCTGGTTTTGAAAACAAACAAAAAATAAACAATAAGCACATGAAAAGTTAGCCCCTTCTAAGAAACCTCTACAGCAAGTGTGATAGCCGGACTAATGAATATCCATACTAACAGGCACTTTAAAGGAGTTCTGAATTATCCCCTTTAAAGAATCAGGGAATCAGCGCACGCCAATAAGTGCGAGGTCGCGACCTGATTCACCAATTCTTTCAAGGAGTTGAAAGAATTGGTAAAGGGCAAGGATGGAGGGACAGGTAAAGTGGGTAGTGGTGGAGTGGGTGGTGCTAGGCTCGAATGGGGGATTAATTCATTGCTTTGAAACTTAGTAAATTTCGTTTCACCACTGCGATACGTATTTCAATAAATTTAAGCTCGCTATGGGCCGACGCCAATTTTTTCGGCTCCTTTCAGAGGTATATACACGATTGCAAGTAGGGCCTGCGGCGGCCGCGATTTGGGTGGCACACACTTGGTCGTACAACGTTTAAGCCAAGGCCGACTTTTTGTCGAGACACTTTACGAATGGTCGGCCGCCGAAAAGCGGTGCATGTTTACGTGGGCTAGGTGGTTTAACGTTTTGTAATGAGGTGCCGCAGACTGTCGCCGTGAAGCGGCGTGAACGCCGCGGGGGGATGGGTTAACACGCGCCCCAGTGATTTGCTAAAACGTCGATCGCACAAATGACCGCTGTTCGCTAAAGCATAATTCGCTCCTGTGATACGGATCCCTCCTGCAAGAGCCTCCCGCAACACAGGCCATGTAACTGAGAATCTGAAAGACCATAGTCACTTCTACACGACCGTTCGTTACCAGTGGCCGTAACAAACCCTCTCGCTCGTTCACGTGAACATTTGTTGACAAATGTCTTACCTGCCAACTGAAGGATAAAGGCTGCGTAATAGCCTTCTTGATCCCCCGTCGCAGTCCTCCAGTAGGCTTCGTAATGACGCCCTTTGTCGTAGTCGACAACAGTCTTTGGGTTGAAGTGTCTAATTAAAGTCGCTGGAACAATAGCCTTAATATTGTCCTCAACGTACCGTACATGGGCAAACATCATTAGCTGTTGAAAAGAAATAAGCGCTGGAGACGGCCGCAACAACCACGTTGTTCGCGTTTAGGTAAACAAGCGCACATGTATTCACCACCGGTCAGAAACTGCCGGTGGCGGCGCGCCGGCGTTTTTTTTTTGTTTTTTTTTCCGGCGGCGGTGCGGCGCGGAGGAGAAACAATGTTATAAAAAATACTTGCACAAATAAAACACGAAAATGGTTAAAAAAAGAAAACACCAATATCAAGCAATAATGTACGCCGCGGTTACGATGCGCCGGCGTGATAATGTTTGTGGAATCGGTTAGCGGCGTGACTGCGGCGGCGGCGCGTCGCTCACACGCCGCACGCGTCTGTTCCTAACCAGTGTTAGCGTTGGCGGCAACACTTCGATAAAAAATTCATTATATACGAGCAGTCAGCGATTTTTAACGATGCATTCTACAGCAAGCCCCAACTTTAAACGTCTCTTGCTAAAAAAAAATAACTTGAAATATGCTTTACGACATTTATAATCTACTTTTGACTTGTGTTTTTGCTATTTTTATCAACCACCCAACGGCAACCCGATGAAGTGAAATACAAATCCAACACGAAACAACCATTAGCTTCACCTGCTTCACCGGCATCGCATTTGGGAAGTGCGAAGTGGTTCGAAGTTCAGTCGCGCTATTATGTCTGTCAAACAGTTGCCGTTGGACGAACCACAAAATAAACGATCCAAGAAGGTGTACTTGGAACCAAATGAACCTTTTAATGTTCCGTCATCGACACTGCACTACCGGAGCAGCCTACCCCGTGAATCTAGCGAGCCCGTTAGTGACAATCCAGCTGCTACAACGGACTTGAGTACTGACAGTGCGACTCGTGCAGCGACTGAAGAAGTAAGTGAAGACGTACCCTTTACAACTTTGTATCCAGATGCCTCACAGTTCAACAAGGTGGACGCAAATAACCTGCAGGACATCGAGCGTGGCGACGTGAACGATGATCCCGATGAAGGCCTTCAGGACGACTCGTTTCCTGATGCAGCACAGATTGTGGCGTGCTGCTTTGAAAGCTTGCGGCACGTAATTCTGCCGATGTCCAACATTAGCAAGGCAGAAGTGTTGGCCATGGTAATGACGTTTGTTACGTCTGAGAACCTAACGTGGAGTGGTTTAGACAACTTGCTGTCACTGATTAATGTTATCTGTGGAATGGAGGTACTTCCTCGTACCCCCCGCAGGGGGCACCTGTGAAAGCAGGTGTTTGGAGAGTGGCGTCACACGGACCCCGAGCCATGCGGGTTCGCCCGCCCACGTCTGGCTGTACGTGGCTTTCCCGTGTCCGGGGAAAAGGGCATCCTGGTGGTTGAGCCGAGCCCGGGGTAGGTTTGGACCCTTCGGGGCCCCCCGGGCGAGGCAATACACCACTTCGGCCCCCGCTTCCCGTAGACGGGAGTCCTGGCTTGGCTCGACCAGGATGATTCAGCCTAGTCACCACTTTTACTATCCCCTCCCTTCTTTCGCCCTTGTCTTCTCATACTTTTCACATCTTCTCATTTCTCTTCTTTCCTTTTTCAACTCCTTTGGCGGCAAGGGCTAACCTTGGGTGGCGACAGACCCCTTGTCCAAAACCACACTTGGTTATAGTACCTGGGCAGTGCTAATAGTCTAACGGTTCCAGCAAAGCCCTTTTTGTTATGGTCCGTTAACTATTCCCTTGTTGGGCTCCGTGGTGGGCGGCATACCACAGGTTCTGAACACTCTCCGCCTCTTATGGCTGCCCCTCCTCCTAAACCCAGCTCACGACAGCCCTGGAAAAGGCGCTGCCTTGAGCACAAAACCATCGAAAAAGACCCTCCTGTGGAAAACTTTACCAAGTTCTTTGTTGTTCATTCTTTAGATGAACAAAAACCCGTTGCAAAGATATCTCCTTTTATTGTGTCGAAGGTTCTGGAACACCTTATCGGGTTCTCGTATAAAGCCAAGAAACTGCACTCTGGAGACCTCCTTGTTGAGGTGGATACAAAACTTCATAGCGAAGCTTTATGTAAGCTAACAAACATTGTAGATGTGAAAGTGTCGGTGAGTCCTCACCGCACACTCAACACCATCCGTGGAGTTCTTTCCGAGGAAGACCTTCTGGAAACAAGTGAAGAAGAACTCCTTGAAGGACTTAAAGGCGCCGGTGTTGTCGCCGCAAAACGCATAATGTTCCGAAAAGATGGCAGAGAAACCCCATCAAGACACGTCATCCTGACCTTTGAGAAACATGCTCTTCCCGCAACAATCAAAGCAGGCTACCTGAACTGCCGCATTCGTCCCTACATCCCCAACCCGCAACGATGTTTTCGCTGCCAACGATTTGGCCACAGTTCACGGAGTTGCAGAGGAAAAGAGACTTGTGCGAAGTGCGGAGGGCAGGACCACGTCGCTGACGTCTGCGACGCAGTGGCCCGCTGCAGTAACTGCAGTGGACCACACCCAGCCTACTCCCGCACCTGCCCTCTGTGGAAACAAGAAAAAGAAATTCTTTCACTAAAAGCCAAGGAAAATATCACATATCCAGAGGCTAAGAAAAGGTTGTCGTTTCTCTCAAAGGGAGGCTATGCCGAGGTGGTGCGCAGGGGCCCTGCACCACGCTCGGAGTCGAGGGCCACCCAGGTCTCGCCAGAGATGCTGGCAGTGGCCCTCAAGGCCCCAACTCCTGAACGCAGGCAGCTGCCCCCTCAGACACCTCGAGGGAGCACGCAAGCTGCCCTCTCACAGAGTGGGACGGCGGCAGCCGTGTCCACTGTCCCTCCTGGACCCTCCCTGAGGGAGAAGGAGCGAAGCCCTCGCTCCAACTCGCTTGGGAGGGGCTTTTCTTCTAGGGAGCGGCGCGACTCTTGCACCGCCCCTGGCTCTAATGGAGTGGAACCGATGGAGCAGGACAATTTGCCCAGCTCCTCCTCCACTCCTCCCTGTGGATCGGGCCAAGGGCGGCAACCGCCCTCTCGAACACCCAATCAACCGAAGCCTGCAGGCAAACCTGCCTGCGAAACTAGGGAGATGGAAGTGGCAGCTGAGGCTGCTGATCCATCCACAAACCTGTCTGACTTCGAAGACACGGATTGGCAGACCCCAAAACCCAAGAACAAAGCAAAAACGCCTGTTAAGCCTCCGAAATGAACCCTCTACCCAAGGCATTTAATTTCACCCCATGCATTTTTCTTCATGTATATACCCCATATATTTTAATTCTGGAGCACTCCAATTTCACATTGTCTACTTTTTTATGTGTATTGCATTGTGATAAATATTTTGAGATCAGAATAAACTTGCTTTTTAATATTAATTTTATTATTCAGTTTTAGCGATTTTAAAATTTGGTCCACATTCCTAACGCCCCTTTTAGCTTAGCACATTTTTATGGCAGGAGGCTTTTTACAGTGGAATTGCAGAGGACTTTTTCACAACCTGGATGATGTTTACTCCTTGCTTCAGGAGTACACACCCTCTGCAGTATGTCTCCAGGAGACATATTTGGGACCATCAAATAGTAATTTCCTGCGATCATTTCAAGTCTTTCGCAAAGATCGCATAACAACGTCTGGCAGTTCCGGAGGAGTTACCATTGTTGTGGACGGAACGGTACCAGCTGTTGAAATTTCTTTGAACACTTCTCTGGAGGCGGTCGCAGTACGGTTGATGTTAGATCGCCTTATTAGCATATGCTCCCTCTACATACCCCCTTCAACTTCCCTGACGCTGACTGATCTTGAAAGCCTTGCAGACCAGCTTCCAGAACCCTATGTTCTCCTAGGAGATTTTAATGCCCACAATCCGCTCTGGGGAAGTCAACGGGTCGACAGCCGAGGATCTGTTATAGAAAGGTTTCTCTCCCGAAGAGCTGCCAGTCTCCTAAATACTGGTGAGGCCACATATTTCAGCTCAACTCACCACTCCTTTTCCTGCATAGACCTATCCATTGTTTCTTCGTCCATGTTTACAAATTTTACCTGGACTGTCCTGAATAACCCACGCGGCAGTGACCACTTCCCTATCCGTCTCATCCCCACAGAGCCCCCACCTATTCTCCCCTGTTGCCCTCCTCGATGGAAACTTTCTATAGCAAACTGGGAACTTTTCCAGGAATGTGTAACGTCTTCTGTCCTGCCTGTAGCACACTCTATTGAAGAAGAAAATGAAATCATCACAACTGCCATTGTTGATGCAGCTCTTGCTGCTATTCCACAAACCTCGGGTAGCTACCCAAGCGCCCAAAGCCTTGGTGGGATAGGGAGTGCCGAAAGTCCAGAAACCGCCAGAATTGCGCTTGGGCAAAGTTTCGGCGGTATCCCACCCCCACAAACCTTCTCGCATTCAAGCGCCTGCGAGCAGAAGCCCGACGCGTCAGGAGACAAGCGAAACGCCGTTCCTTTCACTCGTATACTTCCTCCATTAATAGTTTTGCTCCAGCCAAAATTGTATGGGACAGGGTAAGGCGAATGGATGGTGATTACACCCACTTTTCAATCCCCCTGCTATCAGCCGACGATGGAGAGGCGTTTTCATCTTTGCAGGAACAGGCTGATGCACTGGGTAAACATTTTGCGCAGGTCTCCAGCTCTAAGAATTATACGGAAAAGTTTTTACACTTTAAAACCAAAGCTGAGAAGGACCCAATCCGCCGATCTGATAGCTGTGCCGAAGAATATGACCGGCCTTTTACTCTTACTGAGCTGCGTCGAGTCATTGCCACTGCAAAAGCAACATCTCCCGGGGTTGATGACATTCATTACACGATGATTTCCCATCTGCCTGAAGCATTCCTCGTCATTCTCCTCCAGTTTTTCAATAGAGTGTGGGCAGAGGGGAAGCTGCCGAGCGTGTGGAAAAAGGCTATTGTCATCCCTATCTTCAAACCGGGAAAAGACAGAACTAAAGCCTCCAGCTATAGGCCTATTCGCGAATACAGCTCGTTGCTCGCCCTCTCGCGGCGAAAATCGAAACCGGCCTAGTGAGGGTCCACCCCCCCCCCAATCCCCGCCGCTCCCGGGAAGATGCTATGGCGGATCAAAGTGGAACTCTCGATAGTGGCTCAGAAGTTGCCGTTTCCAAAT